GATTGCTACAGTATATAATCCAAATACATATTATAATACCGCACGGATGAAAAAGGTCTGATCCGCTGAAAGGGGCCATAATGTATAAGCAAGCACATGTGTTTGTTATTTACAATTTATAATTCTTCAAATCAGTGATAGAAGTGGTTGAATACCTCAATAGATTTTGTCTAAAATAAAAATAAAATAACCATTTTAAAGTAAAGTTGGTTTTTAAATTTCAAATGGACCACATAGCCCTTAAGTAGTATCTTAATCTACATAAAACCTAGCTTTCGAAAATCGGGATATAATGCATGTGCCGATAATTTCGGACTTTCATCAAGAATTAAATAAGTAAAACCAACTCATTTATTTAGTAATACTTGTATCTTAATCCGTATTATAACAAAATTATTACAAAACCTTGTATCTTAATCATATATTTACAAATGTTCGTCACAAGACGAAGTAGGGTAGCTTACAATTATTTACGATTATGTTTTTTTAGAGGAACTACCGAAAGTTGTTGTAAAACGACAGGTTCAATGCCTTGGGACATACATGCCGCTTCATATGCTTTAGGAACCTCCTTTTTCATTGTAGGTGACATCGTCTTATCTCTTAATTTTGCCAAATCCGTTTGTTCATCCCCAATAAGGATAACTTTAGTTTCCGGAACCCATTTCCTAAACGAGAAGTTTCTTAGCAAAATTTTAAGAAATAATAAGCATCATAAATAACATAATGTACTAACCAACTGCGTCCAGACTTCTTCTTTTCTTTTTTTCTCATCAAAAAAAGTGCACCAAATAATTATCACCTTCTTTTTTGTCTGATCTGATCGCCTCAGTAACTTCAGGTCCATTTGGATCCGCCACCTATATTTAATCGTAGGTGAATCTTATTTGTCAAACAAAACTTGAAAGAATAATGTAGCATTAATACCTCAGCTGGATACCAAGGGAAGCCTTGCATTTTTGCCCAGACCAAGCTACCATAAGGAACGTTCGACAGCTCGCCGGAAGTTGTAGAACGATTTGACTGTACTATTTCTGAGTTAGACTCTGCCGCAGATGAATGACTTTTTTTTATAGAATCGTTTTGAATTAAATCTTCGTTCTTCTTTTGACTTCGAGCTCGAGTACGAGTGGCTATCAACAAATATTAAGCAATAAATCGATAAATTTAGTCATGATAATCTGCTCAGTGCAGTCAATTAAATAATACAAGACATTCATACCTACCAGCTGGCTTCTCTGCTTCTTCCTTTGCCTTCAATAGTTGTAACTGTATTTGTTCCTTTAATGCAGTTGTTTCATTTGTTGAATTGTCAGGTGTCATATCTACTATTTCATAATTATCTGCACGATCTGCTTTTGTAGATTTCTCTATTTTCCGTTTTGTTCCTCTTGTAGGTCTTTCTATCTGTGACTTGCTTAATTTCGTTGTTGACCCTCCTTTTTCATTCTCCACTTTTAACGGGTTTGCTGAACCGTCTTTTCGAGACCTAGTTCGAGAGGAAATTGTGGCTTTATCTTCGTCAATATCAGTAGGATTTTGATTTGAATTTTCTACAACAATTGGCGTATGTTCTTCCTTTTCCTCTCCTCCTTCTTCATCAGTTAAATATACCCATCCTTTAGGAGCTCTGGGTTTTCGATTTATAGCAACATTTGTATTTAATTTTTTCTTGTCTTTGGCATTTTTTTTCCGAATTGTAGATCTTGTTTCTCGATTTTTTAATAGGTGACGAGATAAAACATCATGATTTTGATGTTTCGAATTAGCTATACGATTTGAACGAGAAGTAGATTTGACTTCTTTTTCGAATTTAAGTGGTTTATCATTATATGTAAATATTTCCGGATGAATCTCAACATTCAGAATTCCTTTAGAAGGATCTATCTGCAACTCAGTATAATCTTTCTCCATTTGTGCGGCTATTGTCTGGAATTGCTGACGTATTTTTTTAGCAACTCTATAATAAATAGTGTTAGACGTATTATAGGTCATAGCATTCTGGAGAGTCAATTCGACATCATCCTAAGTTAAGGATAAATTATCATGAATATTCTAATGTTAATGCCCTTCCGATTAAGTTATAAAATAGTCTTTGTTACCTTGAATCCTTGCATACCAGACCCGAGACTATATTCATGATTTTCAATTTTTTTCCGAATCGTTCCAAAATCCATTGGATGTTTAATGTGTGTAAGATAATCTGGCACTTCCTCCAACGAGACAGGTTTCGCAAAAATTTCATTTTTATCCAAACTATTTAATAATAAATAAATGTAAATTTGTAATAAATATTAACAGGTAATGAATATGAAACTCAATAGATACCTTGAAATAGTGTCCAAAACCGGTCCAATAATATAGTCGAGCGGGAAAATTATGGTTTCTAAGTATTTAACTTGCAATCTATTCCGCTTCAACTTTTCTTTCTCACGTCTGTGTACCAAATCGATCAGCATCCTCACTTTTTCTAAATCTTTACGAAGATCCAGCATAGCCTAAAAAATATTTATTTCTAATAAATATTCTGAAAGACAATTACAATAATGAATAAACTGAATATGTACCGCATATTTAGCCATCTTTTCTTCCTCTGATTGCTTGTGAGCCGATGCAGATGCAGTCCACGGCTATAAAATTAAAAAATATCACTAGCTGTAATTTAATTATGAAGTTATATATATATAGTTCCTTTCCTTACCTCAAGATGGAGACGCTTTAATAATGGAGCTCCACGTCTAGATTCTCTTTTCAATGACCAATACTTACATATAGTAGCAATTAGCTCTGGTTTCTTTCTAAGCTGTCCTTTATGCATTGACAAAACAGGTAACAGCCTATCCGTTATAATCGTCGGTGCAACTATGGCCGTCTCCATATAAGACCGATTATATGCACGCGCAGATTTCGAACTCTCTATAGATTTGTTAGATAATCGTTTTTCTGATTCCTGCGGATTGACTTTAATGGTTTTTCGTGGATACGATGCACTATCTGATTCTTTGCGCTTCCGTGTTTTACGAGACACTGATGTGTCGGATCTACTATTTTCACGCAAATCTCTATCATCATCGTCATCATCACTAGGAATATATTCATCTGAATCGTCATCATCATCAACTTCTATCCTACGTTTTTTGGCTACTGGTACGGGATCGATCAAAAGACTCTGTGCTTTAGCAACTGTTTGGGCAACATCTATTTGTTCTCTATAATCGCGCTAAAAGGAAAAACTATATTAGAAAATTATAAAAAAATCTGAAAATTATGGCAGATAAAAAGCTCGTAATACCGGTGTGTGCTTATCACAATACGCCTTCATTTGATTAGCATCGCTGTTGGGGTCCGGAAATTTCATTCGCATACAAAGTTTCGCTTTTCTTGCACATGTAACGTGAAATGCTGTACAACAGTGTGTATTTTGACATTGAATACATGCACCCATCTTTTTCTCACAAATATAGCATTTCTTTTGTGAAAGAATTGAGATTAGTTTTTTGTTAAAGCCCTTAGTTATAATAAGGCGTGTATAATATAAGCTCACCAATTTCCATCGGCCACGTGGAATTCCCTCTATATTATCAATAGGCTCCATATATACAGGGTTAGATAATCCGACCTCTGGAATCCATAAAGCGCAAAGTAAATGCGCCCAGCGATTTGTATTTGTTTTTTTGAAAGCACCACCTTCGTTGGGGCAGAATATGCATGACTAAATTCGTAAGAAAAAAAGGAAAGGAAGAAAAAAAGAAAGATCAATAAGACAATCATAGATATAGTCTTTCATCTACGTTTTGAAATATATACCACTGGAGTTTCTGGCGAGACGATGCATTTGCGACACAACCATTGACCTTCAGGAATATATGGAATACCATAACAATCTACAAAAATAAATTATGTATATTATATATGACAATACGTATTTGATAAACTTTTTAATGTTGTATCTAAAAATCAAAAAAAATCAAGTTACCTTGGTGTACAGCAAGATTGCAGCCGTCACAGAATACTATGGCATTACAGTTTTCACATTCACCATCATCACAAATCGCACATGTAGAGTCTTCTGGATTTTCCTTTTCTCCTTGACCCTTTGGCAGGTTTTTTGTCTAAAATATAAAGTTTTTAAATAAAAATCGGCAACAGTAACAATCAAAAGTTCGAAGCATTTTCATGATGCTTTAATGAATAAACGCTTAAGTAAAGATATAAATATGTGTAAGTCGTGGATAGTAAGTCAGCCACATGAAGACATCTCATCATGCCAAACAAAAAATGCCCTATGCTAGCGCTTCGAACTATAATAAAATAGCAGGTGATTAACGGACCATTCAATTCATAATTATTAATTACCAGATCAAACCATTCTTTCTCCAAGCGGTCGATCAAAGCTTCAAAAACATCAGCTGTAAGTTCGCCGAGATCTTCTTTCTTTCTTTCTTGATTGAATGCTTTCAACCATAAATCATCTATTTAAAAGTATAAGACATAATAAATAAATATTACATAATAATTTAAATAATTAAATTTTATATAAGACATTACCTTGTTCATCCATGTCATATTCGACTATTTCTACAAGATCTTTTTCGGTCAATTCTTCAAGTTTTACAAAAATTAATGATTATAATCGCAATTTGAAAAGAAAATTCATAGTAGAAATAGATTGCACCTACCGACATGACGAATATAGTGACCTTCAGGTCTAACAAATGGTTCTTTTTCGAATTTTTTGCAATTAATACGTCGATAGGAATGTATTGGAGGCTCCTTTGGTATGGATTCAGAGACAGTCTCCATAATAACTAAACTATCTATTGCCACCGTGGCGGTTTCTGAAGTCGCAGGTGTTGAATATTCCAAGTCCATTGGCTCATTTATGATTTCTGTTTGAATATCAATAGCTTGATCGATGTCTGAATGCCGATCTTGCTCATCATCTTGAACGGTGTCTTCGTCCATATCCTCGTGCGGTGTAGTTCCCGAACTTGAGTTTTCTTTAATATATGACAAATTATCCTGATGGTCAGATAAGATCCCTACTCCTTGCACTAATTTAAATTCATTATATTCATTTTGATTTGGTAAAGCAGCAGTATTTGGCAATTGTGAAAGTTCTTGCGACATCATATGAACATTATTATCAGTAATGTCAGAATATGAATGAATAATATCTAGTTGTTCGTCTAATTTCAAATCAGGTAAAAATTCGGTGTAAGGGATTTCTTCCCGTGGTGTTTCTTCTTGTTGATAAACTACTCTGGCCGCATTTTCTTTTACAATTCGCATTTGCTCTTTGCCATTATTTTTGTTACGTGACTTATTTGTCTTAACGGATTTATTTGTAACCTTTACTACTTTATTTTTTTGTGTGCGCTTGTTAAATCCCCTAGAGCCATTAGATTTTCTGATGCTTCGACTATTCCTGCTTTTATTGCGTGTTGGCTCTTCCGGATCGATCGAACTCTCTCTAGTAACACTTGTACTTTTAGATATGTCCATTGCTAAGTAATGGAATCAGATTTGTTTTAGTTTTTTTCTTTGTCTAAAAAAGTTCGATGCAAATTTGCAACCTATTTTGTTGAAACGAGTCAAATCAAGTCGTAACCGTTATGCATTGTATAGAATTCTACAAACCTTCGTTCAATAAAAAAAAAAATTGGGCGGTACTTAACACAATAAGCAAATAAATATGATCGGCTTGGTAGATCATGTGATAATTTACTAATCAACATACAGTACTTCTAAGCGAGACATAATATTTAAGGTTTGATCTAGCCTATAAACGGTTTTTCCTTGTTTATCGTTATGCTCAGTGCATTGGCTATCTAGCTTACACATTTGGTCTTAAGGTTTTGATGAATAAACTTATTTCATTGAATAGAAAATTAACTAAATAGATCTTTCAACCGTTAATTGCAACTAGAGATGCTGGTGAAATTAGTTTCCCAATTTCACAAATTCAATACCAGTTACACCAATAATGGTGAAATAGGATCTTTGCTATCAAAATGACCCTCTGAGGCTGTGAATAAAAATTAAATTTGCCAGCTATCTAGTTATTCAGTTTGAATAAATTTTTTTTTTAATTTGTAGATTAGGCATATAAAATTAGTTTTTTGGTTCTCATAACATAAAACTTTAAAAATGACCCGGCAACCCGGCTTTTAATTTCATTTTCAAAAAATTTTATATGTAAAAAATTTTAAAAAGTTCACCCGGATAATAAATATAGTAAAAAATTTTTTTTCAAAATTTTGTTGAATTTGACCCGGCCGGGTTATGAGAACCAATTAATTTTGTATGGCTTTATCTCTTATATTGAGATTTACAAAATTAAAAAAAGTTTAATCAAATTGGATTACTGGATGGTTTAGAAATTTGATTTTTATTCACAAAATCAACATAGCCTCGGAGGGTCATTTTGATAGCAAAGATCCCAAATTATTTCACCACCCTAATTTTATTTCAACAACATTTTTAATTGTAACTAAGCTATTTATAACTTCAACATATAGTATATTAAAAGTCATTATTAGACAAAAAAATCGTAATTTATCTTACGCATAATAACTTTTTCGAATTGAAGACGGTCGTTTGAGCTATCGTTATTTTTACATAGAGATCTTGTAAGAACTATATGTATTTTTTTTAATTAATCTAAATAGTTATTTATCTTTATTCGTTAATAGCATTCGAAGAATATTTTAATTCATCATCAATGAGCGCTGACTGCGGTATCGAGATATCTAAACATATGGATGGCTTGTGGAATCATTCTTGCTATAGCTACATCTGTATAAATCGATGGTTGGCTATACTATACACTCAATATAAATTTTTCTGGCTTAAGATTCTATTTCGAAAATTTTTAAGATGCATAATAAATGAAAACTTTTTATACGTTATATTACTGTAGTTATAAGATTATTTTTAATTTTTAATGCTTATTAGACTGTATGAGTTTAATTTTATTTTAGAAAATATTTAGAATTTTTAAATAAAACAAAAAATTATAAATAATATAAAGTTCACTTGGACCAAAAATTTCCAAACAATTTCTTAATAAAAATACAATAATACTTAGTAAAAACAAAGAAAAGATAAGATGGGAAACCATAAGGCAGCACCTGTTATTTAGAGGTAGTTCTTATATGCTACCTGCTAACAGGCTTAGAGTTTATTACTCACTGCAGTAAAGAATAGCACTTGTTGTTTAGAAATAGTTCTTATATGCTATTTGCTAATAAGCTTAGAGTTTATTACTACTATAGTATTTTTAAGTATCTGTACTACTCTAGATAGATACAAATACAAGTATATTTTATAAAAAAAAATAATACTTTTAATATAAAAAATTAATTTTTTTCTTCTTTTATCTTGTTATTACTTTTACCAAATTTTTACAAAAAAGTAGACAAAATAGCTTACCTTTTTCAAAAAATCAGCATTTTTTACTTTTTAATTTAAATAAACTTAGTAAATTGCAACTACATATTTTATTTACTTGTAAATATAGCACTACTCTATATAATATAAATTAAAGTCTTTAGTTAAAGAGATATCCAAAGTTGGCCAAATAAAACTAAATATTAAGGCAAAGCTTTATAACAAAGATATATAAATATTGTATTTGTTATATAATTTTTATATTTATTTTTTTTTATTTTTTTTTTTTTTAAGACGATCCTGCCTTTATTATTATGGACTAGCAATTACAATTGCATTATTATACTATATTT